TAGAAGATGTCTTAAAGAAATCTTAATCAAATGTCCTAAAAATGTTTCGGACATCTAAATCACATCTTCCCATCACAAAAATTTATTAACATGCTCGAAATAATCATATGATAGGTAGCTAGGGCATGACCATTCTTCAAATGGCATGACCATTCTTATTAATTTTCATTAACATTTTTGTTTTCCTCTTTCTCTTCCTCCATTTTTTGTTATTATATTCTCCATCCAGATTATATTCTTTATTTTCCTTCTTTTATATATATATATATAACCTTATAATAATATAATATTCTAAATAAAAAATATAATTTGAATTATAAGAAATTGGCCTACTGTAGATAAAGGGATGGATTGTAGCTATATATTTATTTAAGTACATTGATGGATTGTCGTGAAGTTGACGTCTAGGAGTGAAAAAATTAATATATCAATATACTTGGTTTAGGAGTCGGTTGCCTTCCACTATACGCTAAGGTTCCTTACAAGCACATTTTGTTTCATACGTTGGAGACGCCTGGAATAGGGTATGGCTAGGGATACATCCAAAAGCTAATATAATAAAATACTTTCATTCCACTACAAGTAATATTTAGAGAATAAATACTAACCCAGCCTTGCCACTTTACCTAATAGCATCCATCGATCACACATATATCCCTTCAACAGTTGATTGTTATCATACGGTTTCTATCTAGCAGCGCTATTAACATTGTGATTCAGGGGAATGGAGAGCGGTGGTAAATATTCAACGGAGATAGCCTTCAATGAGATTTTCTCTATTCCTAAACTTGTCGGAACATTTCCCTTGGATCTTAATTGTAAACTTTCATGGAAGCTATTAGTTTTCTTTATTGATTTGATCATAAACTTTGCTATTGCGTTAGATGATTTCAAGAAGAACAGTTCGAAAATTCATGCCTATCTCGGATTACTTCGTTGGTGTCTTTTGCTACCTGCTTCTATTATCAACTTCGTTTGCTTATATTTCAAAATCGAACGACTAATAGATTTGTTTAAAGAACTACTCGCATTTGAACAGTTTTCCCACAGAATCGGCATTACTTGGAACTATCATTGCAGATGGTGTATCAAATACCGCAGCATGGCAGTTATTTTCATTACAATCAGCGGATGGTTTTATAATTTCAATTTAAAAGCACTGATGAGTGTTACGATGAGACGCATTCATGTTTACATCGTATTTTATTCCATCATTGATCAAGTTACCGGAACTACTTCCCTTTTGGCATCCGCTATTGAACACCTTAAGTATATCAGAGAGGACGTAGAACTCTTGAGAAAGTTTGATCAGTTAATAATACTCTGTCGAACTTTAGAAGATTACTTTGGAGCCCAAATACTGGCTATAACTGCATGGTCATTTGTATCATCAATCTCACTAAGCTTCTGGTACGCAATTTCAAGTTTGGATGGGCATGAAACCGCATGTCTTTTTCTTCTCACAATGTACCCATTGTTCGTGATTTATATTCCGTTCCTGTCAATTGTTCGCCAGGTCAGTAGCTAATTCATAATAATGGAAATTTAAATTCGTAAATTAAAACTAAAAATATGAACCTCTGAAATCTTAGAGGATATAGCTTCTGGAATTTATCGTTTAAAGTAAATCCAGATTCAAAATTAAACTTATTACTGAGTATATACAATGAAAAGTTTCTCTTCCATATTGACCTTTATTATATTATTATTTTCTAACGTTTCGAATTACTCACCTTTCATCAATTTAATCCTATAGTAGGTATTTCTTCCATCTTATTTTCTTACATTGCATGTCAAAACATTAGTCAATAGTTTAATAAATGAGTTTAAATTAAAATAGATTTCTTCCTAAGATGGATATTTTCCATTATCATATTAACTGTGGTATCTAAGTTGAGCTTTATACTAATACCTTCTATAACCTCAGTGAATGTGACAATTGAAAACGTAAATCTTAGAAAGAAATGTATTTTAATTTAAACTTATAGCTGACCCGGCCACGCGTTGCTCATTCTGGTTAAATAAAAAAAGAAATAGAAAATACATTAGATGCGTATAGATGTAGAGATTGTCTGGTTTTCCAACTCTAGAATTTGCAATACATAATTGTCTATATAAGAAGCAATCGGTCTCTAAATCTCCCACGAAAAATTACTAAATGTTCAAAGAATTATATCTCTGTACCAAATCGTCCGATTTTAGTGATTTCTGTTTTTTATTTGCAGGGAATAAAAAAAGCTTTCAAATAATGATGGTTATAATTAAACAAAAATTGTGTACTTTTTGAGTAATTCGCAAATATAATTTTGAACTCTCGTAACTTTTTTTTCATAGTCTTTTCGGAGAAGGATGTTATAAACATAAATTGAAGGGACTTGAAGGAGAAGGCTTTAGCCAAGTTTAATTAAAATCGTTACAGCCGTTTAGGCGCTACAGACTATAGCGAAACAGGTTTTTGGGCCGCTATTCCGAAACGAAAGAAATGAGGCTGATTAAATTTTTATAAAAACACTCCTCAATGCGTTAGAAACATGTCAATATTTCAAAGCGATTCGGTGGAGAAGTTTCGGAGATTAGCGGTTTTGAACAAACGAACATTCACATTTTTATTAATATATATGATGAAAAGGTTTTAATGAATTATTGAAAGAAGTTAGTCGACTGTTCTACATATCATGGGAGATAAATAGTCAGGACGCAGTCATTATATAATTTTTTTTTTTTATTTGTGCCAACGTTTCAACCCAAACATGGGGTCATCTTCAGGACTGAAAATTTTAAAATACAACCTGAGATACAATATTATATCAACGATAATGGTAAATAATAAACTATAGTGATTAATGGTACATGGATCTTAACTATTATTACAATACATAATATTAAAAATGAAATATGTATAAAGTTATACAAACTAAAAATAATATATATAATCTATTTATAAAAATTTGTAATATTTTCTCTTACTAACCGTGGTTCGAGCACTGAAAGCTTTCAAGTACTGACATAAGATTGACAAAAGATTTTAATCTGCATCGTAAGAAAATAAGATGGATCAAATACCTACTATCGGATTAAATTCTCTTTGATGATGAGAGAGTTACCAAACACGTTAGACAAAAAGAATATAATAAAGATTATCATTGAAGAGAAACATTTCATTAAACACGTTACACGTTTCCACTAATGTTACCGAACCTTTCACGGATTTTCATTTTCATCATCTTAAATTAAATACTATTCTCATGAAAAAGAAGTTTAAAACACAAAACTGACAATAATGGTTAACAATAAGACCAATAAAGCAATGATCTTTGAAATGTGATCGACCGGGTGAGCGGTGCGCAACTTTTCCAAACTTGTTATTGAAATGTCGTTTATTTTAAAAATATATAATTTATAGAACTTAAGGGCATGTTGTTTGTATGGTAATGTTCTTGGAATAAGTACTTGCTAAGGAAGAGGTTAATAAATCAATAAACAGATTAAACAGTCGGGATTTAAAGGTAGGAAGGGTTTTGGATTGACGGATGTGGGGAAGGTTTGAATTCCATAGGGAAGAGGATCGAATAATAAAAGATTTATCGAAAGCAGCGGTTCGGTGGGACATTATATATAGATCTGAAGACTGGGAACGGGTATTGCGGGAGTGGACAAAGGATTTAAATTGAAGGAGCTCGGAGATGTATGATGGAAGGCGGGAGTGAATTACTTGGAAGAGGAAGAATACCAGGAAATACTTACGGCGGTAGGAAGGATAAAGCCATTTCAACTCCTCATAGAAACAGGAAACAAGGGGGTCTCTTGGGATCCCGAAGATGAATCGTACAAAGCAATTTATTAAACGTTTTAGTTTCGCCTCGAGGTCCCCAGAGACGCCTCCATATATCGTGCAGCAATAGTCGAAGTGGGGAAATATTAAGTAGGTGAACAGGACTCTACGAATTTCAAAAGAAAAAAGTTGTCGCAGGCTATTTAAGTGTTTTAGGGTGGAAACAGTGCGTCGGGAGATATTGGACACATGGTTTTTCCAGGAAAGGGTTTGATCAAAGATTATTCCAAGGTTTTTGATGGTGGGATAAAATTTAAAGGGATTATCATGTAAGAACAGGGTTGGAAAGTCAGGAACAGTTTTGAGGAGGTGATTGGAGCCTATTAGGATTGGCTTGGTCTTTTCCGCTTCAACTTCAGCTTGTTAGCTCCTGCCCAGTCATATATTCTATTTAAAGCTTCTTGAAGCTTTTTTGTGCCAGCTAATAGGACAGAAGTGATGAAGGACAGGAATATTTGGAAATCGTCAGCATAGATGTGGTATTGGGAGTGATGGATCAGGAAGGGAAGGCCATTAATGTAAATAGCAAACAGAGTAGGAGATAAGGAAAGTGTCTTTGAAGGAGGTTGATCTGGGACGATTACATATTGGGATCGATCGGAAAGGAAGGATTTGATTACTGGTACGAAAGCCAGTGGAGATTGATCGAGAGCGCTTTAGCCACTTAAACTCATTTTTTGAGTGGAAAATGTGACTATTGTCAGAACTCCAATGTATAAAAATTACAAAAGGTTGCGGGCCCACTGCCTACAACCTCTTGGAGGATTATGGATGGGTGGTGCTTGATAGAGGTTGTGCTAGAGGATTTGGATGATAGGTAAGGTTCTAGTGAAATTTGCTGAATTTTTCTGGGATAAGGTCTAGAACAAGTAGGATGTTGAGGTCATGTTGTAGGATTTTGAAAATAATTATTAAAGCCAAAACATTTAAAAAAAATTAAAACTTCCTAAATGCTGTAGCCTTACCACTGCCTTAACCTTACTGAGGCCTTTAGTATTAAAAAGGATCTCCACATATGGGAATATACCAACCGATTTGTATCATTTGGTTTTGTCGCAAGGTTTAGTAAGATGACAGCATTTAATACATTATAAAACTCTTTTTAAATAAAGCTTCTATTTTTGTTTAAAATAAATATAACTCTAATCTGTCTAACTTTATTTTCTAGGCAAGAAAAATCAATAAACTGTTGTACAGAAGATTACTGGCAAATCCTGATGACGTAAGTGTTAGCAATCGTAAATTAATCATTTTTATAATTTCCGTATTATTATAAATTATTAATATTGGTTATTGCTTTATGATTGAATAATTTAATATCGTAATTGGCCATCCATGCTACGAGCAGCATAGGGGAGACTACTCTACCCAGCCGTAAAATGCAAATCAGCGCGATGCCTAGCTCACTTGTAATACGATAGACTAAATTTGTCCAGAAGTTGCTCCGTCAGCGTCACCAAAATTTTTGAGGGGGCATATGACGACTTTGTAAATAAAGATTAATATCATTTCTACACATATTTATAGTTTTTTAAATCTTTTTTTATACCAATTAGACAATTATAGAGCACATTGTAATTTAGTGTGCATTGTAACAGTTTTACAATCTGTAAGATCAAGATCATGACTGTGTAAGTAAGACCAGGACATTTTCACACTACTTTTTATCCATGTTTTTAACCTTAACTAAATATTCTGGGCAGGTCTCCATGGGAACCGGATTATATTTTTTTAGTTTTTTGAAGAACTCTAAAACTAAACACTTCTCTAAACATTTCAAACGTTTACTTGAAAGATGAATGACTTGTCAACTTAATGGAACCTTAAAGTGCAGAAGAAATTTAGTAAATCTATATCAGACAAAAATTAGTGAAGACAAGGGAATCAGTATTTATATTGGCCTATTTTTTATTTCAGCAAGAGTGCCACTGTTAAAGAAGGTCGCTTTGTTTGTATTTATATTTCATTATAGGTATTTCTATTGGTTTAAGTATTCGTATAAATACAAATTTTAATTTTTATTATGCTGTGATCTATATAATTAAATATTAAAATAATACCAATGCTAGAAAATAAAACGGTACATCTATATGAGCATAATATTATCGGAGCCTATATTTTATTCAGCACCTATTACATATAGAAGCCTATTCTAACTCTTAGCTTCCTATTCTAACCAAGCTTAGGTGCAGGCTCGGGTTTCTTCTGTTCTCTGTTACGATCACTTATCTTTAGTTAATTATCAAATTCTTACATAGTTTATATTTAAAAATTTTATATTAGTTTAAAATATGGGATGGGTAATTATTTTAAATAAAATAAGGTACGTTAGAGAGAGAAATTTTGAAAATTAGGCATTTAATCCCAGTTAAGACATATAAATGAGCATAATAACTAGATGGTATCAAACATTATTTAAATTAATTTAATTCATTAGTTCATTGAGTTGCCGAGTTAAATCAAAATGCTTAGAGTTGTTTTGGAGAAAATCATAAAAATATTTATAATCGATAGTATAAATTAGCACTTCCAGTTAGCCGATGTTCACGAAAACGTTGCTGTAAGATCTCAGGCATATACCAATCTTTTTTTTTTTTTTTTTTTTTTTTTTATTGGTGATATTTACAACTGTATTACAAGTAAAAATACATTCAGTAAATGTGAACAAAGGAATAAAATAGCATGACATCACATGTTGAGAAACTACCCATTGGTAGCACTCTAAAAATGTATTTACAAAAGGAGATCTCGAGGCCATCTTCTTTTCAGACGCCTCTGAGGGTTGTCAGGGATCGAAGAGGAAGCAAGGTTAGAAACGAGAGGGTTTGGATGGTTCTGAAGTTTGTTATGGAAGGATAGGTATCTGGATTGGGCCAAGTCAGAAACATAAGGAACATTAAGGTCGTTATGGATGATTTTGTTTGTGACAAAGTAAGGAGCAGTGAGGATTTTACGAAGGATTTTGGATTGTAAGGATTGAATACGAGAGGAATTCGATGGCTTAGTGGAGCCCCAGAGCTCAACTCCGTAAGTCCAAATAGGTCTTATTGTAGTCATGTATATGAGTCTTTTGTAATTGACTGGGAGGTTAGAGCGTTTATCTAGTAAGTGCTGGAGTAGTCGGAAACGTCGAGCTGTTTCTTGTCGTTTCAGTCTGGTATGAGGATTCCAAGTTAGACGTTTGTCTAAGTGGAGTCCAAGGTATCGAATTTGTTCAACAGGAATAAGTGGGGTATTATTAAAGGATACTGTAGGACAAGAGGACATAGGTTTACGACGAAGGGTAAAGGTGATTTGATGGGATTTATTGGAATTTATTTTTATTCTCCAGTTTTGACACCATTCTTCAAGGTTTGTGATGTGTGATTGAAGGGTTTGGGATGCAATTGTTGGGTCGTTATTAACTGATAGGACACATGTATCATCGGCGTACGTGGTAATGACTGTGTTAGGATGGGTTGGGATATCAGCTGTATAAACTGTGTAAAGGATAGGACCTAGGATACTACCTTGAGGAACACCAGCGGACTGGGAAAAAAGGGATGAATAGGCATTATTATGATTTACTTTGAAGGATCTATCAGTAAGATAGGAACGGATAATGAGGAAGTATGTAGGGTGTAAGAATTTACGGAGTTTGTAAAGCAGTCCTGGGTGCCAGACTCGATCAAAAGCCTGTTCTACATCGAGAAAGACTCCCGTGCAGTACATTCCGCGCTCCAATGCAGAGGAGACAACATCCACCACACGATGGCATTGCTGGATAGTGGAATGGGATCTGCGGAATCCAAATTGATGATCTGGGATAATGTGATTAGAATCTAGGATGGGGTACAGGCGTTTTAGGATGAGCTTTTCCAGGATTTTGCCTAGGATGGGTAAAAGGGAGATAGGGCGATAAGAGGATGGGTTTTCTGGTGGCTTTTTGGGTTTATGTATCATTTTGATAATAGAGAATTTCCAAGGGTCAGGAAAGTATGTTGATCGCAGTACAGCATTATATATATAAGTAAGGAATAGAATGGCTTTCCGAGGAAGGAGTTTTAGGATCTGGGATGTAATTAGGTCGTGTCCAGGAGCTTTTCGGGAAGGTAACCTTTGAATGATGTCGGATATTTCTGAAGGATGAAAGGCTTTAGGTGGAAGAGACATTTGGAGTGGGATATCCAGTTCTGCTTCAATACATTCAAGGTGATTTGGGTTAAGAATATCGGGGTGTGGATTAAAGGTTTTAAAGAGGTGACGAGCAAAGATTTGTGATTTTTCTTCGTCGGATTTGGACCAGGTTTGAGCTTCAGTAAGAAGCGGATGATTACAGTCTTTAAATTTCAGGAGCCTTTTAGTGGTTGTCCATAGTGATTTGTCGGTAGGTGTAAGTTTTTCAGTAAAATTTAGTAAATTTTGAATTTTGTATTTTTTAATTTCAGATTTTAGTTTGTTAGTCAGTTGGGTATAATGAGTTTTATCTGTTGGATATCTGGTTCTATGCCACTTCGATCTTGCTCTGCGTTTTTCCTTCAATAAGATACGAATATGCTGTGGCAAGTCAGTCTTTTGTGAATTGTTAAACTTATTGATAAAAGTATTATTATTTATACTGTCTGTTATTGACGATACCAATCTTAAATACATAATACTAATTATGTATTATTATCGTCCCCATCATCAGCGGGGCTCCCAAGTCTTATTAGTTTTGTACAACTTTTTATTTTTGAGCTACGCTAACCACTCACACACCCACAGAAAGACATGGACAGATTATTTTGCAAGGGCTTTGTTATTTGAACTCAGGAGACCTTAAAACATGTATAGCCTATTTTAGAAAAAATATGCTATAACATTCCAGATATATACAATATATATCTATCTCAAATATGTAATTTTAGTTTGGTAGGATTTTTCGTTTTTAAGCTAGACTGTTTACGCACAATAGATAATGTTGTGATACTTAGTTATTTGGACTCAGATGAAGTGAATTGTTGAAAACTCAGATTCGAAAATTTTATGACAATACTTATGTATATTGCATATACAAAGTGAAAGTAGAAAAGAAAAATACTTTATTAACATTTCAGTTCATACTTCTAAAATGTTCACCATCAATTTCACCATGTTTATTTGCTTTTTTTTTTTACATTTTTTTACGTTTCGGCTATGATACCATTTGAATTAATAATACTCGTTATAAACAGAACAGTCCATAATTGGATTATATTCTCTATGGAAGTGTTGGAATATTGGTAGTGTCTCTGTGGAACAATTCCATAGAGACTATAATCCAATTTCGAACTGTATATAAGGAGTATTATTAAATCAAATGGCTTAAAAATGGCAACATATTCGAAACGTAGCCAATGCAAAAAAATAAAATAAACATGGTGAAATAATACAGCCTTACTTTATATTGTTAAAAATAATTTCTCCTAAAACAAAAGAAAAAACTTACATTAATTTATTTACTTATTAATTGAATCTGATTTCTGTTTTACAGAAAATGCTCGAGTTCCACATGATTGCAAAGAGAGATGTTACCTTCTCGGCTTTAGGATTTTTTCGTATCAACAGTTCATTAATTGGCTCAGTAAGTAAATTGTAAAATAACTGTAAGAGTTTTTATTGATTTTAATCTTCCGGTTGCGAGTTCCAGTCCTGGTGGGGTTAGAAAATTGATTTTCTGATCACCCACTTAAATAAAAAAATTACTCATTTTCGAAAGTTTTTCTCGAATTCCTGGTTGTTTAACTTTTCTTAAAGTATAAATTTATACGAAGTATAAAAAAGCTAATATTTTAATTTAATACTAAATGGATATTTCATTATAATGTTTTTATATACAAAAAAATCTGGAAATTATTACAGAATGGTTTACCATTTCCAAACAATTATATATCGAAAGTAGCATTACTTTTTTTGTAACTTAAGGAAAAATAAAAGATGATTCCTAATATTGACCTAGATATATGTATATTTTTTTTTTTATGATTACTAATTTTCTACGAAAATTAGAAAAAAAATTCTTAAGTTGATATAGCACTTTCAAAAAATCAAAAACCAAAACATATGAAATAAGCTTTGCTGCAAAATATTTAAAACATTCTATCTTTGCACCAAATTGTTAGATTTCAACAACTTTTTTTTATATATTATGGAATTTCATAAACTATTAAATAGCCATGCAATAATGTGTCTATACTTTTTGAGTTATTTGAAAATCTAATTTTTAACACCCCTCGTAACTTTTATCCTGCTTCTTTTGGTTGAAATTGTAACGTTCCTTTAAACTTATACTTTATGACAAAATTATAATTAATAAGGGCTTATCCAGTGAAAGGGGAGTGAATTCTTCAATACAGATTATTTCTTCTTTGTAGGTGATATTAAATAATTAATGACATATCCATAATAAGTCATTTTATTTATAACAGGAACAACATAAACCAAAAATAATCATTGATCGTTTTCAGCTTCTCTCACAACTCTCGATCTGTATAACCTCCTCCTTAAAACAAAATTAATTCCAATACCTGTTTTTTTTTTTTCCAAATTCTTATATTTTAATCATTTTATCAACTGTGACAATCTCCTTAATTCCTGGAGATGGCGAAGGACATTCTTCTGCAGTGTTTACACCCTCTGGTGAATCGGCTTTCAAATCCTGGATGTGTCCGTTCTCCAACGATCCAGCCTCATTGACCACCTGACTACCTGATACACCAGATCGGAGAAAATTCTTTTGACTATATTCTTTGACTACATACTACCGATATATATCGGTGTGAGTTCGGCTGTATATTATTTACTCAAGTCCGAGAGAGTGTGTTTTAGCCCATACTTGCTGACCATCAACTACTTGACTGGAGTACGTCTAAGATTATAACGTCGAGCATTGGTTTCTTGGGCTTGCCGCAACCAACATCTTCCAGCATTAACGTTAGATCCTCTTCGATATTAGATATTTCTTAACCACGTATTGGGAGCCGTGACTGAATAACTCGCGTCGAAAGTTAAGAAAGGATGGAGTGTAGCTGTTGTCAGCGCAAAGCCGAACTTAGCGATATGTCTGTCCCGTGATGGATGGTTATCTTTGACATAAGATGAAATCATAGTTTTCAGAACCCTGTTTATCCTGTCATTAGGGTTAGTCTGGACTGCGTCAAGGATGCCCTAATGACAACTGCAAGTAATTAGGGTTAGGAAACAAGAAGTAAACTAAGCCCATGATTGCAGAGTCTTTGGTAATTTTTAGATTTTTATAGAAATTCTTTGTTTATGTTTATTGATACTTTATCTTAGATGTTTCCCACGTTGGAAGGGGCAGCAGCCCCATCTTGTTTTCTATTCGAGTCTATAAAGTTATAAAAAGATAACAGTTGGTTTCCAAAAAAGCGAATGTTGTTAAACCAGAATTATTCTTTCATACAAATAATCAATAATCAAATTAACAAATAATATATTTCTTTCTTTTAATTATTGTAATATTATCAATGTCAAATATTGTTTCAGATAATCGGAGCGGGTATCACCTACGTGGTCATTCTTCTGCAGTATGGAAAGTAGAAGACAAATTATATTTATTTCTTATGCAACTTATGTTAAATTTTTTTATATAGATTGGATTACATATCAATAAATATCTCAGTGTTTTATGTATTTCTGTAACATATATCTCATACAAATATCTCAGTAGCATTTTATGAGATAAATTCATATTTATATTTTATTTATTCTAATTTTTAATTTTATTTTAATTTTTAACTTTAACTTTATTTTTTAAAATTTTAGTTTATTTTTGTTTAGTTTAGTATCTTTTTGTTTATATACATTTACGTTTTAGTATTATTTTATTGCTGTTTATTACTTTTATTTATTGTGCATAGTATGAATGAGCTACTCTTTATCATTATTACCATTGTCCTTGAATGTGACAGATTGTAATATATCTCAATAAAGTAATTTCCTAAAAAATAGAATAAATTGTCTTGAGAATTTTTACCATCTGTAAAATACAAAATTAAAATTTTCAAATACAGGATTTTTCCTACTTTATTTAATAATTGGATTTAAAGTGTGGTCACACACCTTATTAGACAAATGAACATATATGTTCACACCTTAAGCACCCTGAACAAGTTTTTGAAGGAATTGCCCAGGTCCCTGCTACGCTCTACCAGAGATGGGCAAATGCTACTATGATAACTGAGTACCAAGTATTTTACTCAAATACTGACCGTTTTTTACTATCCAAAAATTTAATTACTGCTTCGGTTGATGTCAAACGATTAACTGAAGTACTGATTGAATTCCCAATATTCATTCGATTTGAGTAAAATATTTGGCACTTGTTTCTCAAGAGTCGCATTTGCCCATCTCAGCACTTAAAGGGGACCCTACACGGTCAATCGGAATTGCACTAATGACGTTCCGAATTGTCGTGTAAGGTAGTGAATGAAGTACTGATGGTGGTGCGCTGCGGATTTCCGAACATCCGGAAATCAAAGGTTCATTCACGAGAAGTGGAGGGGGGACTGAGGTAAAAGTAGTGGGGAGACTAACCATACTGCTGGATAGGTTAGGTTACCTAGGCCTCACAACCATTATAAATTTCTGATTTTCATTATATGTAAATAGTTAAATAATTTTTCATATCCCTTGTTTATAATTTTAAACCATCTTCAACTATTTCTTTTAAATAGTCAAGTGGGCAACAAATTAAAAAAAAAATGAGGAAACTTCACAATTTACTTTAGGAAAAAAAAAACTTTAACGTTGTGTATATTTATCAGTTCTTTTCCCATTTTCCTCAACAAATTTATTATTTTCGCAATACCTTTCCTTAATTTTTGTAAGTAGTAGACTTATATTTTACTAACTTTTGTCAAAACGATTTTCTATGAGACTAACCTTACTACTAGATAGGTTAGTTTACCTAGGTCTCGTTATTAAGTAAATAATTTCATAAAAGTAAATAGTTGTTTATATCCCTAGTCTATATTATTATTAACCATTTTCAACTATTTTTTCTTTAAATAGTCAAGTAGGCAATAAATTGGAGAGAAAAAAAAGTGGAAACTTCACATAAGTAATGATCAGTAATGATTGAACGTGTAAGGGTCTTCATGATCAAAGCGATAGCGGGCAATCTTGGAACTTCTTGTGACGTTCATTCATGAATTACCGTGTAGGGTCTGCTTAACATCTCGTTTTGGGCCATTCATTGTCTCAGGTCGTATGTCAAATATTATGGCAGCTTTATGATTTCACTGGTTCATATAATTGCCTTTAATAATATTGTAATTAATTATCAAATCAATTAACTAATAATCTGGGCAAAGGTTATGTACCATTTGTCTGATTGTTAAATTAACATCTGACAAAATATTTTGTTTACAAGTTGGTAACGAAGTTGAAATGTGGAGTGAGATATTTATTGATTGTGTTTAGTTGGAACATAACCCTCTATTTCTTATCTGAACACCTCAGATTTCCGTTTTATGAATGGTTCATTAACAGCGCTTGGCCTAACGAGTTTACTTTAACATTTAATTAAAATAGAAAACAGTAAGTCGAGTTTTTTAACTTGTTAAAATAAGAGCAAATTTTAATCTTCCTTTGTAGTTAGTGATTTTATTTTATTTTACTTTTATTCTATTTAACACATCTAATACATTTAATATTTATTTAATATTCAATTTACATACGTAAGTTTATAAAATGCATTTATCGTAAACTCTAGTTAATTGTAATTTGGGTTTCTTTACATAGGAGAAATCAGTCTGTACCATAGAATTCATAGAAAATGATAAATGTACTATTATAATTTGTTCCTTGTTTTTCCTGTAATCGTCTTGTCGTAAATATGCCCCAGTTTATCATAACAATTCTTAAACCTTATCTGATTCTGTGAGTTATCTGTCGCCATGTTACTTTGGTCTCCATCATTTCCTTAATAATCATATTAATGATATTTCTCTGTCATTCTGATCAATTAACTAATTCATAGGTATGGAGGACTTTGCTTCACTGACTCTCTGGCATAGTTGTATGCAAAAAATGTGCTTACCCAATTAGAGGTATATTAAAAGAAAATTGATCGGAAATCAATATTACAGTTCATTGATACCGATTCATATCTGTTAGGGTTATATATACAATCAGAAACCAAAAGTTTGAAAGGTCACCTTTATTCAATGAACATTAACAAAGCATAATAATCAAACATATGTTAAAAATGCAATAAATAAATTAAGTTTTATTTTCCATCAATATCTCCGATCACCATTTTGACACCATAATGAGGGGAATCTTTTCGAATATTGTTTCTAACATAGCATGAAATTTATGATGGGATATAGAAGCTTACTATAGATATATTGAAAAAACGTCCTTTGAGCCTTAGCATGTAAAGTCGTTCGTTGATTGTGCTGAAATCCTGGATGGTTTATTTAGATATTTCCTTACCATGACGACTATCACTTACTTCTTCTGGATTGATGTAGATGGGGAACCTTTCAATTCGAATTGGGCCCCCCTGGGGTAAAAGAAGTTTTTAGTGAGTGTCATATTTTATTTTATTTTAGTATTAAGAGAGTAGGAGGATTACAGGAGCTCAAATGTTTAGCCCAGTCCTCTAGCCTTGACAGTGCTGCTCTTCTATGGCAATTATTTTACAAATTATACAACTGTTTATTTAATTATATATGTGTTGAGCTCCTATTCTCCTAATACAAAAGAGAGATTTATACCCTTGTGTCTTTGTTTCGGTACAACATATCTGTTGTATTGAATCATTGTGATATAATTATAACTATTATGAAATAGAAATGGAAACATAATATAATGTACAGTGAAAACATTAGAAATGGAATGCTCAAATTGATGTTGAGCTTATATGAAGCTGGACAAATTAAATATATACAGTGACAGGCGAAAAATTCCACCCACTTGATTTTTTCATGTTTTTATCTAAAAATATTTCACCCACTTGTAAAAAAAGTTGTATTTGTATATAATACATGGTATTTGTAGATAATACTTAGTATTTATGGAATTTTATAATCATTTTTACCTTTAATAATCAAAATGTGATTAGAGAAAAAAAATTGAAAAACGAACCATTATTATTTTAAAAGAAATTAATTACATCATCGTTTTGTAGCACGTGTTTCCTCCTCTTGCCTTCACTACTTCATGAAGACGCCTCGGCATACTTTCCACCAGTCGGGAAATGTCCCTTTGCTGGAGGATAGTCCATTCCTCCCGAAGAGCCCTTTCAAGGTCCTGCAGTGTATCAGGAAGTGTTGCACGCGCTCTTATTCGTCTTCCGAGGTTATCCCATAAATGCTCAATGGGGTTCGAATCTGGAGAACGTGCTGGCCAGGCTAAATCCTCAATATTGTTCTGTTGAAGGAACGTCTGCACTATGCGGGTGACATGTGGGCGTGCATTATCGTGAATTAGAATAAAACGATCGCCGATTTCGTTGAGGATAGGGAACACATGAGGTTCCAAAATCTCATCTACATAGCGAATGGCCGTCAAAGACACTCCACGAACAACAACCAATTCTGTGCGGCGCTCCATTGAAATCCCAGCCCACGCCATTTAGGAACCACGTTGGAAAGGTTGGCTCTGGGAAAAATTACAGGCTGCATATCTGTCGTTTCTTCTTCTCCACACCCTTTCACGCCCGTCTGGAGATCGAAGAGCGAATCTTGGCTCATCTGTAAAAAGTACAGCACTCCATTCGTCCATAGTCCAATGGCTGTGTTCTCGAGCAATCATCAATAAGTGCCACACCACGCGCAACATCCTCAGCACTAAGAGGCATTTTTAAAAGTTAATATTTAAAAAATTAAAAGCCGGAGACTAAGAAATGTGCTGCAAGAAACGGCACTGAACTAATGATACTGAATAAACATTTTAATTCGATAGAAAGTAAACATTGGAATCTAGAATCATTTCATTGAATTAAGGATTAAGGGTTATTGTCCTCTATATTGACATTCCTAATTGAAAACAAACAAAAAGATTACCTATTTATTCATTAAAATCAATAGACCAATCCAAAGCAGAAATATTTTTAGATGAAAACATGAAAAAATATATATCTAAAAGTTGTATTTGCATATGATACATAATATTTATAGATAATACTTAGTATTTATGGAATTTTGTAATCTTTTTTACCTTTAGTAAACAAAATGTGGTTGGGTAAGAAAGATTAGAGAAAAAAAAAATGAAAAACGAACCATTATTATTCTAAATGAAATTAATAACATCATCGCGTAAATAAATAAATAGCGCGTGTTTCTTCCTCTTGCATTCACTACTTCTTGAAGATGCCTCGACATACTTTCCACCAGTCGGTAAATGTCCCTTTGCTGGAGGATAGCCCATTCCTTCCGAAGAGCCCTTTCAAGATCCTGCAGTGTATGAGGAAGTGTTGCACGCGCTCTTATTCGTCTTCCGAGGTTATCCCATAAATGCTCAATGATGTTCAAATCTGGAGAACGTGATAGCCAGGCTAAAACCTCAATTCCTTGAAATAGTTAACAACCTGTTGGCGTGCTCGTAGTAGAGTAAGAGATAGGCAAAACAAAAAGGAAAAGAGGAGAAAAACATCAGGAATTGTAAATAGAAAATAAAAATGGGAAAACAATATTAAATAATAACTAGGGGGTACCTCCAGTTCGCCCAATGTAGGGCTAATCCCCATTTTACAAATTATACAACTGCTCATTTAATTATACTACTCGTTGCTGAAATTGTATAACATGTATTCTATAGTTCAGATTTTTTTTTTTTAGTTTTAATCACAGTTCTGACAAATTTTTAAGTGATTGCCCATGTCCAAGGTAGTGCTAATGTCCAAGGTATTTTAATACTTTCAAGAGAATCAAGATTAAATAGACGATTACTAGTAAATATGTCAATACAAATTTTTCATATATTGTAGCGTTTTTTATTACTAATGTGTGTTATACATTATGGATTGGCTTCATTCTTTTTTATCTTGAGTTTATTTATGAAAAGTTTAGGTTCTAGACGATTTCTCTTAATTTGTTTATTGAAGAGCTTTTGGTACCATCTTGAAAACATCAATCATTAGGCCTTCAACAGATGCCTAGACATGCCAAAGGTTTACTGTTTATTGATTTTATTTAAATTAGAGGTTTTTAAATTGTCAAGGTAAACTGTTTTCATTAAGCTTAAGACACATTTATATAACATATACTGTATCTGGATGCATACAATACATTATTAATATGCCTGACATATTATTTTTTTTTTAAATATTCGAAGAAACTATTCTAAGTATTCCTCAGTAATTTTTTTTTTATTCTTAAATTTTTTTTATCATTTTATATATAGTTACGTCAATGATACCTGATTTTTAATCTTTGAAATAGCAAATACTATGCCAATTGTATTAAGAATATTAAATGAAAATGTCAGAATAAGTGGTGTATTAAATAAAGGGAAATTTATTCATTATTTAAATACGAATATTGTGATTGAATTAAGTTTTCATTTTCAATTTTTATATTTTTTCAGCCATAATAAATAATTGTTAAAAAACATAAAAAAGGAGAAGATGGCATCACCTACAGGAGGAGTAAAACCCATGTCATTAGAAACTGAGTTATGTCGTGAAAGAGAAAGGTTACGGGGTATGACTGATGAGGAGCGTAGATGGAGGGCACAATGGGTCAAAGATCAAATTTTATCAGATTGTGAACCCGTAGAAGTTTGTGAATTACAAAGAGAACTAACAAATCCTATTAAGAGATTTTACAGGGCACCTTTAAATGCAGTTTATAAAATATTGAAACCAGTAATAGGAGCAAATGCTGCTATGTGGACAAGGTATTGTACTAGCAAATTTTTAATGGGTCTGGCTTTGATATATGGAGGAACATACTATTTCAAGTATAACGCTAATGATTGGACCAGAAAAGGTGGGTGGCGTGTTGTACCCAACCGTCCTGGAGTCTACCCAGGAGATCCTGAGTTTCCTTATTGTCCTAAACGAAGTCCAAATGAATATGCCAATCGAGGATTTGATCAGTCACCAATTTGAAGAGTTAACCAGCCATTGTGCTATTGTGTTCAATTATATATGTTTTTAATAATTTTATATCTATCTGTATGTATTAAATTGAATTTTTATTATCGAAGTATCTAATTGTAAGGTATAAGCTAATCTTCTTAAGTATAAGGTTTGTTTATTGGGACTAAAGACATAATAAACCTTAGATCATCATTGTCTAAATGTGTAAATTATTTATGATTTTTTTAAAGATATAATAGTCGTTGCAGTCTACCAAGTTCAGATATCAACATTTAACAGATGTGTCTTTCACCACCACAGTCTTAATATTTACCCTTATTTTTCTTTGGTTTTGAGTTTTAGTAAAAAATAGTTCTTAGGGTAGAACTAGTGACATACTAATGCATTATTACTATAATTGGTAAATGGTTGACTGTCGTGGATAATGAAGAGAAGCATAGTTGGGGTGGTCAGTCAAAAAAGAAGGCAAAAATAAATGATAATATTTATTTTTAAATATGCCGACGTTTCGACCTCATCAGGACTTAGAAAATAACCAGATAACAAGGTATGAGAAACATAAGTAGTGATGGTAAAAAAAAAAAAAATATATATAAAAAAAACTTTACTTTTACTTAATTTTTTTTAATAATTTTTTTTTTTTTTTTTACTATTACTACTTATGTTTCTCATACCTTGTTATCTGGTTATTTTCTTAGCCCTGATGAAGGCCTGAACTTCAGGTCGAAACGTCGGCATATGTAAAAATAAATATTATCATTTATTTTTGCCTTATTTTTTGACTGACCACCCCAACTATTCTTCTCTTCATTATTACTATAAATTCCATTCATTATTGATAATGCATTATCAAATTTTCAAAAAGTACAGTATAGCTTATAGTCCGTGTTACAAACTCCTTTCTATCAAATTATTAACTTGAAACTTACTTTATAGCTTTATCTCATCGTAACCTACAACTATTTTATTTACAAAAACTCTTGGAATTGGGACATTTTCAATTTGGGGATCGGTAAACTCTGTCTATTTAATTAGATACTAAACAATTATAAACAGCACTTCCTTTTCACTGGGATCATAAGATAATTTGATCACGAAATTGAGAAAAAAGGTGACCTACAAAATTACTGGGCCGTTTGCCCTATGTATCTCGTTATTTTGACAATTTGAAGATGTAGGTCACGCCAAACGGCTCAATGTTTTTGAAAGGCACCTTTTTTTCTTGATTTTATGCTCGAATTATCTTACGTATCTAGTGAAGAAAAATGGATAATTACGAGATTTTCTTCTCCCTTAGTCCAAGAATTTTTGTAAATAATATATTTGTACAATACGATGAGATGAAGCTTACCGAATCAATTAATTTATTACTGTCAGTATTATTTAAGTAATGAATATAATGAAAGTATTATTGATTGTGTAAGTAAAGTACTGATGCTGAGAAGTCTGTAACTAAGTAATGGTTCGTATATACATGAACCTATCTTAAATATAATGGTGAAAAGGAGTGGGAATATTGACGGTATTTAATGACTCCCTAAGGGAGATTACTTCCATCCTATTGTGCTTACTGTAAATTTTATTTACTAAATTGAAATTTTTGTCTGGTTCCATTAGAAAAAAAGCTGCTAATTATTTCACAATGGTTTATTATTTCCAAACAATTGTACATCTAAAGTAAGATAACCTTCCTAGTTACAAAGAAAAGTAAATAAAAGGTGATTCCAATTATTGGACTAAACGTTTTTTTTTTTAATCATTAGTAATATGCTAAAAAAAAACTAGCATTACTTCAGTGATACATTAACAATTCAAAAACTAAAACAAAGGATATAACCTTGTCAGAAGAACAAAAAAAAAAAAAAAAAAAAAAGGAAACCATATCTTTGCTAATAATTGTCCAATTTTAACGATTTTTTTTTTTAATTCCGTAAACAAATAAAAAACCATATGCAATATCTAAAAAAAAGTATATACTTTTTGAGTTATTCGGAATTTAATTTTAGCATCCCTCGTAACTTTTTTCTTCTTTTCGATGAAGTATATTATATAGATAAATTTAAAGAACGCCAGGAAAATAACTTTAGCGAAGTTTCATTGAAATCGGTACATTCGTTTAGGGGCTACAGTCTGTAGCAAAACAGGTTTCCAGCAGCCATTTTGAAAGTAAAAGGCGGATAGTAATGTCGATGAAGGAGGATCATCTTCGGGTGAGCTCTGATTTTTATCCAAATTTGAAAAAAAAATGGTCGAGTAGTTTCGGTGAAAATGCGTGAACGGCGGACCGCGGATAGACAAAAAAAAAAATATTTATTCATTTTTCGAATTCTACGTATCCTGAATCTTGAAATCTCAAATTTTGAGAGGGGGTTAAGTGTTTGAATTATTTGGCCTATCACAATGGTTCATTATTGAAAATAATAAACCAAAATAAGTCAATGAATAATAATAAATTTATTTATTGAGCAATTTTACAAATGCCTTCTGGCATATTTTGTAAATGTGATGTCCGTTAGCGAACCTCCTCTTGAGGATTAGCGTGAATGAGTGATTGGAGAAACCTCCCAGTGAAGGCACTCCTAACGTGACTCTCAATCTAGCAGATGTGTTTGCTGCTCCAGAGGCGTTTGAGTCTTCTTAGTGGATTCTGTGGTAGTGGTACAAGTACATGTTGTACAAGTGGATCAGGATGTCCAGCTAGGGAGTCATGAAAATTTTTGTAATATTTTTTAATTACATCAGTCACTTGTGGTGTTTGTAGTGATTTATTGATTAAGTAGAAGGGACAATGAGTGATATAACGAAAAAATTTTGATTGGAAAATTTGAATAGTCTGTAAGTGTGTTTTTTTTTGCATGAGCCCCACACCTGAGAGGCATATGTACATATTGGTTTTAGTAGCATGTTGTATATAGTAATTTTGTTAGAAAGTGATAGTTTGTTTTTATGGTGTAGCATTCGTCTTAGTAGTGACAATCGATGGTTCAATCTCTTTTTTAATATAGTCACGTGTGATTTCCAGGTCAGTCGTCTGTCCATTGTGAGTTCTAGATATTTTGTCTCTGTATGATTTGGCAAAGGAGTGTTGTAAAGTGTCAGTGGAGGGCAATCCGAGCGTTTAAGTGTAAATGTAACCTGATTAGATTTTTTAATGTTAATTTTTATGCGCCATTTATCAAGCCAGTCTTGTAGAAGATTTAAATGAATCTGTGCTTTCTGAGATGCTGTGATCGGATTAGAGTCAGTCGAGAGTATGACAGTGTCGTCTGCGTAAGTTGCGAGTAATGTGTCTGGTGTCTGTGGAATATCAGAAGAGTAAATTGAGTACAGAACCGGACATAAAATACTGCCCTGCGGTACTCCCGCGCCGATTCGGCAATAGTCGGAGTATTTACCATCCTTAAAGCAGACTTATTTGCTACTGATCTTACAGACGTATTTCATCCACATGCAGAATTGCCTGACCAACAGCACTGCTCAGACGTCCAACAAATCCTCATTTTTCCTCTTCCCCTTTCTCTACCTCCTCCCCCTATAACTCCTTCGGACATAGAATTTTGTATTAAAAAATTACCTCGCAGAAAATCTCCTGGTTTTGACCTAATCACACCTAAAATTGTACGACTTCTACCCAAAAAAGCATTAATCTTCCTGACAGCTATTTACATTCTATCCTTCGACTTATTTACTTTCCTCTAGTATGGAAATTTTCAATCATAAAAATGATACCGAAACCAAGCAAACCTTTAGACCAAATCACGTCCTATAGGCCTATCAGTCTTTTACCCTTATTTTCCAAAGTATTTGAAAAATTATTATTAAAACGGCTCTATCCATTTTTAGAAGCAAACAATGTTATTCCCAATCTCCAATTTGGATTTAGACCTGCACACTCTACCATACAACAATGTCATAGAGTGGTTGATACAATTGCTGTGGCATTGGAAAAGAAGGAATTTTGCACAACAGCTTTCTTAGACGTCTCACAGGCCTTTGATAAAGTGTGGCATGATGGTCTACTTTGTAAAATTAAACCGATCTTTCCTCATACATACTATTTAATCATGAGATCGTATCTTGAGGATGGATTTTTTATTGTTAACCAGGATGTTAAATACTCCGACTATTGCCGAATCGGCGCGGGAGTACCGCAGGGCAGTATTTTAGGTCCGGGTCTGTACTCAATTTACTCTTCTGATATTCCACAGACACCAGGCACATTACTCGATGATGTGTCTGGCGACACTGTCATACTCTCGACTGACTCGACAACACCTTTATCAACAAGATTAACAACCCACAAAATACTAATTTGCCACAGCTTATTCGTATCTTTTTAAAGGAAAAACGCAGAGCAAGATCGAAGTGGTGTCGAACTAGATATTCAACAGATAAAGCTCATTACACCCAACTGACTAGCAAATTAAAATCAGAAATTAGAAAATACAAAAATTTACTAAATTTTACTGAAAAACTTACACCTACCGATAAATCACTATGGACGACCACTAAAAGGCTCCTGAAATTTAAAGACTGCAACCATCCACTACTCACTGAAGCCCAAACCTGGTCCAAATCGGACGAAGAAAAATCCTAAATATTTGCTCACCACCTCTTTAAAACCTTTAATCCACATCCCGATATTCTCAACCCAAATCACCTTGAATATATTGAAGCAGAACTGGATATCCCACTCCAAATGTCTCTTCCACCTAAAGCCTTTCATCCTTCAGAAATATCCAACATCATTCACAGGTTACCTTCCCGCAAAGCTGCTGGACATGACCTAATTACATCCCAGATCCCAAAACTACGTCCTCGGAAAGCCATTCTATTCCTTACTAATATATATAATGCTGTACTCCGATCCACATATTTTCCCGACCCTTGGAAACTATCTATTATCAAAATGATACATAAACCCATCCTCTTACCGTCCTATCTCTCTTTTATCCATCATGGGCAAAGTCCTGGAAAAACTCATCCTAAAACGGTTGTACCCATTTCTAGATTCTAATCACATAATCCCAGATCACCAGTTTGGATTCCGCAGATCCCATTCCACTATCCAGCAATGGCATCGTGTGGTGGATGTTGTCTCCTCTGCATTGTAGAGTGAAATGTACTGCACGGGAGTCTTTCTCGATGTAGAACAGGCTTTTGATCGAGTCTGGCACCCGGGATTACTTTACAAACTCCATAAATTCCTAAATTCTACATACTTCCTCATTATCCGTTCCTATCTAACTGATAGATACTTCAAAGTAAATCACAATACTTATTCATCCCCCTTTTCCCAGTCCGCTGGTGTTCCTCAAAGTAGTATTCTTGGTCCTATCCTTTAAACAGTTTATACAGCTGACATCCCAACCCATCCTAACACTGTTATTACCACGTATGCCGATGATACATGTGCCCTATCCGTTAATAATGACCCAACCATTGCATCCCAAACTCTTTAATCACACATCACAAGCCTTGAAGAATGGTGTAAAAACTGGAGGATTAAAATAAATTTTAATAAATCCCATCAAATCACCTTTACCCTTCGACGTAAACCTATCCTGACCTACAATAATACCCCACTTATTCCTGTTGAACAAATCCGATACCTTGGACTCCACTTAGACAAACGCCTAACTTGGAATCCTCATACCAGACTGAAACGACAAGAAACAGCTCGACGTTTCCGACTACTCCAGCACTTACTAGATAAACGCTCTAACCTCCCAGTCAATTACAAAAGACTCATATACATGACTACAATAAGACCTATTTGGACTTACGGAGTTGAGCTCTGGGGCTCCACTAAGCCATCGAATTCCTCTCGTATTCAATCCTTACAATCCAAAATCCTTCGGAAAATCCTCAATGCTCCTTACTTTGTCACCAATAAAATAATCCATAATGACCTTAATGTTTCTTATGTTTCCGATTTGACCCAATCCTGATACCGATCCTTCCATAATAAACTTCAGAACCATCCGAATCCTCTCGTCTCTAACCTTGCTTCCTCTAGGGATTGTAAAAGATAATTGCATGATTTCAGCAAAATTGGTATTTTGTATTTTGTTTTGAAAATATTTTGTTCAAAAAATCTGATTAAATACTTAATGATAGGCAAACATGTTTTTTCTGCTTCAGATGGTCCTAACTAGTAACAATACAAAATAAATTGTGAAGAACTTCTCAATCAAACTATCAAAACATGATTTACAAATTAACGCTAAACATTTTTTGCTACGGAAGAATATTTTGCCCAATTATTGCTGATTAATAATTTCAGCACAAATGGAGCTATAAAGGTGATATATTTTTACTTTCACTTACCTACATATGTAATATACAGGGTGTTTCGGTGGAAAGTAGCCAAACATAAAATACAAATTAAGCACCTCAAAACAAGAATCATGAGAGTGATTCACCTAGGCCAGAAACGAAATTCGTACGAAACGGGTACTACGTATTTAAGATGGGCCAAAATACCTATATTATATCTGGAATGTTATAGCAATTTTTTCCTTAAAATTAGCTGACTGGAAGTGTCACTTTGTCTCATCGATTTACACATTTTTAAGATTTTCTCATAACGACTCTAATGATGTCGATAAAGCTCTGTATATCAATGTACAATTAAATGTTCTTTAATATCAATTAAGCCTTACCCTTATTGATGTCGCTGTGCCGGTGTGCCGAATCTTCAAAATTTCTTTGAAGTATCTTTAATTTGGTTTATCTTATATATATATATATATACGGAGGAGTGTGTCCGTGATTAGTAATAAATGGAATTCATCTCAAAGACAAAATCGTAAGAATAAAAAATAAATAAATGCAATATCTATTCACACTGCTCTGCGGAATGCGGTAGGTAATATTTTCCAATTTCATAACATAGTCCGGGAAGGACCGAAGAGTTAACCACGTGATCAGCGGCAGAAGGTTTGAAAATTGAAAACAGTAGAGATTATAACCTTAATGCCAAAACTCCTCTAGTCAGACCGATAACTTATAGCGTTTGGCTGTGGTAGAATTTCGATAATCACAAAAACTTCCAAAAATTACGTGATCAGCAGCAGGCAAAAAACCAATAGTTGGAATAGTTTGAGATCACATTGTAGGTAACAGATTTAATAAAGTCAGACAAAATTTTGGAAGCTTTATACGAATCTGACAGCTTTAAAAATCTAAAAAAGCCCCAGGAGTTGCGTGGTCAGCAGCAGGAAAAAAACTGTTAGAATACTTTCAGAGCACAGTAGTATTGTTATTTTATAAAATTTGAATAATTTTTTTGGAAGCTTTTCACGAATCTGACGTGAAATTTGAAACATTTACCAAAAAATATGCCATCAGCATCAGGAAAAAAACAGTTGAAATAGTTTTATATCACTCAGTATGTAACTAATTTGATAAATTCTGACAACATTGTGGAAACTTTTCACGAATTTGAGAAGTAAATAGTTTCAGACTATTTTTTAGGAATCTGATTTAATAAAACTTGACCAATATTTAGAAATCTATCGAGATAACATGCGGGCGACATGATGCCCGAAGTATCCTGATAACTCTCCGAGGTGTCTGAAAAGAAGATGGCTTCGAGATCTCTTATTGTAAACACATTTTGTTTTTAGAGTGCTACCAGTGGGTAGTTTCTCAACAAGTGACTAACTGAAAGCGTTTGGCTGTGGTAGAATTTCAATAATCGCAAAAACGGCCAAAAATTACTAATTATTAATAGTTTCAGACCACATTGTAGGTAACAGATTTAATAAAGTCAGACAAAATTTTGGAAGCTTTACACGAATCTGATAGCTTGAAAATTTTGTTGTTGACAAAATTGACTTTACTTGTGTTTTTTCCTACCTAAACCAATTATTTTTGAATATTTTTTCATGTTTGCTTATTGTCTGACTATCCACCTTTAATAAAAGACTAATTATGATGAAATTAAGCCAAATGCTGATTCTCAGTGTCCAAAAAACTAACTAAAGTCAAAGTCGTCAGTCCGCTATATTTAGACGCCATTTTGGGGCAGTTCGTTCACTTTTTTTTGGGGAACATTGGCTTTTTTTAAATAAATAGTTACAAGGAACACAAAGATATGCAATTTATATGGATGTGGGAGTGTACGTTTGGGGGTTCTGGCCCACCGTGTATTTATTTTTTTCACGTTTTACCATATCACCGTTTAACCGAATAACCCATCTCGATTAAATTTAACGGTCGTTAAATTTTTTTCGGCGTGCTTCAATGTTTTTCCTATCCCTCGACCGAATTGCAACCTGGCGAGAACGACCATACACGAACGTTCACAGTTGCAGTGGACACCCATCTGTAGAATTAGTATTCTAATTGTAGTTAGAATTCTATAGTCTCTATTTAGGACGTATAGTGAAAATTATATTCAGTTTCCAGTTTTTATGGAAAAAGTAGTAAGAAGTTAATCAGAATTTTCAGTGTTTTAAGAAAATTTTGGAATGTGGACCAACACTGGCTAATAGATCGATTATCTTGTGTATTATGCGGTTGATACCACTTCTATTCTAATTGATGTCCTAATAACCCGGTGACTGTTTGGTACTTTTACTAGACACTCTTCCGTTACATACGACGGCAACTTCAATACGTAACGACTTGGGTGGGGAGTAGAGCGGCGATATATAGCTCAGTAATTACAGGAGCTCAGCAGATCACAACCACTGCCCGCAATGAACACGGTGAGCCTTCTCTTAGCTTTTGTAAAGTATTATTTTATTTGTGAGTGTCAGTATTCAAATTTTGGATTCCAGTAAATATCTTAGTACAGCTGATATGACTGGTCCAATTTCAATAATGGAATAAAGCTATCAAAATTTATAAGAGCTACACATATATGTATATATTTCTAAAGACTTACAAAGTTATTATTAAAATAAAACCAATAATTTGGTTTATCAAATCTATTTAGCAGGTCTGTTTTATGGATCATATATAAAGAAATCATGTATGAAATGGATCATATATCTTTATGTATATATATATATATATATATATATATATATATATATATATATATATATATAATATATATATATATATATATATATATATATATGTATCCAGAAATTTTTGTGTATATATATATATATATATATATATATACACACACAAAAATTTCTAATTCCAACGAAATTACTAATGATTGAAATGTTACTTATATTAGTCAGACTTGAATTTTGTTGTTTCTAAGAGATTTAATTATTCTCTAAAATTTTGAAAACTTTTTTGATATGGAATAAATACTAATCTCACACCAGCTAGAAATACATTAGTATTCAAGCTAACAGTTGGTCACTTATATATAATCGCAAAAAGAAACTGCTAAATAATAAATAATTAATATCATGTTTAAACATTTGTAAGGGTATACTATTAATTAAATAATTAATTAATAATGTAAAAACTCAAAAAATTTAGTTTAATTGAATTTACCTACCAAGTTGTTTCTTCTGTGATTTTTGTATTTTCGAATTTATTCAAAGTTGCATCTTAGCAGTATTGGCCTCTATAGATTCCTGTATTAGAAACTGATTTGCCTTTTTTATCTTTTTATTAGTTCTTTAGAACGATATCTAGTTTTAAGACTGCTTCAATATCGAGCTTATCTTAGCGATTTTATCTGCCATTTCATTCATTACCATTGACCAAAGTGGCTTGGTGACCATTGAATAAGAGTATCTCTCTTCCCTGAAGAAGCAGTCCAATAAAGACTGATATGGTTATTCAAGAAGTTTTGTTCCTTAAAAATCAATATTATCAATAAATATTTTATTGATAGCTATATGAAATAGTTACTTACCATTGACTTTTTGTCTAGTTATTTAATCATAGTACATTCTTTTTTTTTTTTTTTTTTATTAAAGTTTTGCTTGATACAAATCAATGGCTAAGACAGATAAATGTTTTTATATGTTAGAATCGAACCAAAGATAAAATAAAACCATTACTTTCGATTCCTGGTTCGCTAAAAAAAAGTGTAGAAAGGATTAAATGTTTGATTTCACTTTAATCGCTTTTTTATAAGATTAAAAGTATATAATAATTACGATATTACGTAATGGACTTATCATATAATGATTACTTTATCATGAAATGTTATTTCAAGTCATCACAAGCTCTGAATGTAAATATTATTCCTTTCTAATAAGTGATCTAAGGCTATTTGAATCAATAAGTAGATCTCATTTTATTTTATTTTTCATCCCACATCAAATTATTATCTATTTTATACATTCGTGTGTTACTTTTTGATTAGTTTACTGTTATATTTTTTTTTTCTCAGATAACCTTAATTTTGAGTATCTGTTTTGCCTTTGCGGTTGGACATGTTGCGCAAAGCGAAACAAGAGTGAAGCGAGGGTTCGAATTCGGGTGAGTACAAGTTATGAAAATATTATAATAACTGTTTAAAAAAATTGTTCTCTTAATTTTTATTATTAATCCTTCAGTGGAGAAGAGGAGGAACACGATCATTTGGACTTGGGTGGGCACGACTTCGGTGGTGGATTCGGCTTCGGCGGCGGGTATGGCGGTGGATTTAGCGGTGGCTTCTTGCATCACCACGAGCCGCATTTCCACGAGAGTACCAAAGTGATTCCCGTCCACAGGACGTTGAAGGTGCCTGTAGCTCACCCGATTCATCACGAGATCAAGGTCCCCGTGCCATACAAGGTACTTGAGCCATACCACATCAAGATCCCGGTCCCTGTCAAGGTCGAGAAGGAAGTCCGCGTCCCCGTGGAGAAGATTGTCGAGTACCCCGTAGAGAAACTGGTTCCGTACAAAGTGGTGAAGAAGGTACCATACCCAGTTGAAAAGCCGTACCCAGTGCCCGTTCCCGTGTACAAACTCAAACTGGTTCATCACTCGAAGAAAATTCACCATTGGTGATTACTTACGCTGGCCATAAAAAAAAAATGTGTGTAAATGTAAAAAATATGTTTGTCTAATATTGTAAACTGTTTGTATATATAATAATCACTGTGATGTTCATTTTATAATAAATATTTTTTTTTTAAATAAGTTTTTATTTTCGAAACTTTTTATACTGCATCCCACTCATGCTCAGGATGTTCTCGATAAATTAAATTGAGAAAGATGGTCTGTATATCATCACAAGGGTTCGTAAATTAATTATCACTTATTGATTCAAATAAATGTATTCAAATACATATTTAGGAAAAACTATGATAACAGATGCTATCATTTAAAATATTTGTTTATAAAATTTTAACATTTTTCAGAATTTGATATTTTGGTACGATATATATATATATTTGGTGAGTTGATATATCGTTAAAAATCAAATGTATCATTAGAAATCAGGTGTACAGTTGCGCTAAGAACCAAAACAGTCCGAATATATTTAATGTATTAGATTTAGGCTCCAAATGCAATACTCTTTTTTCAACGATCCATGTACTTTTGGTCAGAAACCTCAATTAATTTCCACACTTCTACGTTTCATCAAAAACAATTTGGAAAAACGAAATGTCCGATGATAACAACACAATGCCATTTTTATAAAAAATCTTTTCATTTTCTTTACAGAGTGTTTTGAATAATAAAAAAAACTGCTCGTTCCATTTTAATCTCTTACACTGATCTTGTAGAACAGTTAGCTATTAATTAATAATAAATTTATTTTTATTGTATATGATTATAGTGGGAGTGCAAGTTGCTGGGAATATCAAATCCTTGAAGCCGTAGGAGAACGCAGGGCCACTTAACGCTATCGAAGGCGGAGGACGTGTCGAACAATATGAATAGTACATTTTTCACCGCCCCCTCCTCTACGTCTCTAGGCACTCTCAGCAATACTCCAGTGGTTCCTGTACCACAGGTCGAGCCGATTTGACGAGAATGACTCGCCCTTCTAAGGATCTATCTAAGACTGGTTGTAATCATATGCTGCAGGAACTGACTGATGACTGGGAGAAGGCATATCAAACATTATGCCTTAGGTAATTTCTCGTCCTTACCTCCGCTCTTGTGGAACAGTCTCATGACCGCAATTCTCAAATGACTTGGAAAGTATCCTCAGTCTAAACATTCGTTAAGAATCTTGAAGGGCTATTACATCGAGTCATGGAGCTCTAACGATCCTCTACTTCTCCACGGAAAGCAGAAGGTCCTATATATCCCTTAGTGGGCATAGGTCGGTACCTGGCGGGTATACTATGATGATATTATAAGGATAGTACGTCTAGCCATATTATCCTTTTCACTATCCTGACGGATCGTCCCTGGGGTATGTGTAATTAATATACATTCTTGTAGCTTCTTCGTTTACTAATATACGTTTCCACTCTCAACATGTGAAAATAACGAAGTTTTTTTTTAAGCCGACCGGCCTAATATTTTTGTAGCTCTTCCTTTTTTCACTATTTTTCGATCAAATTATCTTACGATTCAAGTGGAAAGCAAATGAGGATTCATTAATTTTTAATACCTCATTAATATTAATTAATATAATGAGAACAATTTCCAAGAATTTCTAAAATTTTTAATTTGTAAATTAAAAGTTGTAGGTAACGATAAGATGAAGGCATTCACGAAGTTTTAGGAGGATGTTAATAATTTGATAAAATAGGATCAATACCGTGGACTATAAAACTGCAATGAAGTGGTATTTTATTGCATGTGGTACAAATGTGCAAGAAGAACGCTTTCAAAATGAGTTCCCACTGAATTTTATTTTGGGTATCTGGTTTACTTACTCGCAGGCAAGAAATAAAATTACTTCACTTTATAGCCTTGGTGGAGATAGTTGGATAAAGTATAATAGTTTTAACGAAGTTTCGTGGTGACAACAAGAATGACGATAAGAGGAGGTATCCTTAAACGATACAATTTCTAACAACCGCATCTTTTGACTCACTTTCATATGTAAACAGTATGTAGTTTGAAATTACATTTTATCCGACTATGGTGAAGCTACGCGGAACTGTATTTGTTTAGGTTATCCTCTAAAAGGTATGTCAGGTGATTTGGTGATACCTACCACGTGAGTGTTTTGAAATACAATATGTAAAAATCTGATTTAATCTATTCGCTAAAAAGTACTTATCGCTTTTTTGAGCGCACGGCTGTACTGATTTTAGCTCTGTGAGATCTCGTGAATATTTTGAAACAGTTAAAGCTCAAACTACTAACAATAAGTAAAATTTCAGAATGTTTTAAGCATTTCTCAATTTATTTTGGTTTGTTTTATATCATCGTGATCAAATGTGTTAATTACAAATTGCCCATTTCCGAAAAACGAAAATGGTTCAAATAATAAATAAATAATTTATATATACAAGTCAGGAAATCCTATTCATCTTAAGAAAAAGTACTAGCAAATTTACTAAAACACTGGTGGATTGATAAGGAAATTAAAGTCTACGATTATTTATGCTTGATGTAGTATTAGGTAAGCAAATAAGTCCATTCGGTTTTTCAGAGTGAAATAAAACTCAACGTATTATAGACACAATGTTTTTTTTTAATCTACAATATATTGAATATTATTTAATGTAACTTTTTCCCATCTTTCCACTAATTGTATCATGCCATGTTCATAGAATGTCTGGAGTTTAGTGTTAAAACACTGATTCAAGTGGTTTTTGATGTCCTATTCCTTTTGTGATTTCTTTCCATTCATGGAGTTCTGTAGAGACCTGAATAAATAGTAGTCTCTTGGAGGTAGGTCTGGTGAATAGGGAGGGTGGGGCAAAATGGTCCCATCCAAGGCTCAATAATTTATTGCGAGTGACCAATGAGGCGTTGGACCAAGCGTTGTCTTGGTGGAACACAACACCCATGCGATTATTTATTTCTCTTCAGGATGTTTTCCAAATTCTATGTTACTATATCCGTTGGAAAGCTCAATTATTGCACTTCAAAGCCATATGAATGTTGTTTTTTTTTATTTAATGTCTACATAAGGAATGAATAAACAAAAACTCCTTACAGGTTTTTATTTAATTTTTAATTTTTTTATTTTATCTCCATCTGTAGTTTGTTTACGAAGGTCCTGCTGATGTTATTAATTATAGTTTATGTGGCCGTAAATTTCTTGTAGATAGCTAAAGTCGTATTGAAGTTATAACACTTTTTTGTGATTTTTGAAAAAAAAAAATCATGTGAGAGACCTAAAGATTAAGCCTGGAAACATAGCTGAGCTTGTTCAAATAGTATTCTACGCTTGTGTGCGACACGTTTAGGGCCATAACACTGATTGGGTGGGATTTTGAGTAATAATGACCTTAACATTGCTCATTTCAATTTCATGTGGGCGACCAGACCGTTGAGTATCATTGATGTCAAAATTTTCTGAATGAAATTTGGCAAACCAATTTTGATAGGTGCGTTCTGTTAAGGCACCGTTCTCATAAACAATGCAAATGTTTCTATGAGCTCCTGCAGCACGCATATCTTTTTTAAAATGATACTACAAAATATCTTGATCATGAATATTTTATTCAATATTCACAGTGTAATAGCAAACACAATACTAAGCTAGTTTCAATAAAAGTTAAAGGATACAGTTGTTGACATATTACAAACAGGATAAACACTCCACCTTAGGGATTAATTCATCAGATATGAATTGTATCATAGTGACATAAAACTAAACAGAAAAACCGAGAGAACTTATTTGCCAACCCAATAGTTGACTACCTTTCACTACGCAATACAGCTCCTAAAGCAAGTAGATTTCGTTTGAAGGTGTGGAAGGTAACTGCCTACTAAACTTACAATTGGTTAAAATATTAGTAGATGCCAATTTCTAATGAATAAGATTTCACTATTTCTGTAGGCAAATTTTTTTTTATTTATTTATTAATATTTTATTTCAACTGTTTTAGTTTCCAAGAGTTGGAAATTTATATTTAACACATTTGATTGCGATCTTACACACGATGATATAATGGAAACAAAAAATTGAGAATACAATTGGAGCCAATACTGTTCGTCGTTTACACGGCGCCAGTAATGGCACTCCATAGGTGGCATATATTTATGCTTCCAGCGTCAACGCGGGGACTGCACTCACCCTGGCACAAAATGCTTCAGCCAGCATTGTAGAAGAACTAGAAGCGATCGGTATCAGAGTGAAGCCTGCGAAGACTGATTCTATTGTCATGTCGTTTCAGAAGTTAAAGAAGCCTTAACCCACACACTTCACCATTGGAGGAGCTGATCAAAAAATCTCCACCTCGATCGTCTACCTTGGCGTCACTTTAGATAGACATTTAACCTTCTCTTGTCACATTAAGCAAAGGATCAAGCTGGCACGGCAAAAGTCACACCGGCTCTAGTTTTTTTTTTTTTAATTTCATTTAATGTTTACACAAGTTTAGGGTATGGGATTTTTAGTTCTGAATAATATTTTTTTCTATTAGCAATATTCGTTTTTCTTTTATTTTAGGCTTTGGGTTCAAAATTTCGAATATTTTAAAAGTATTATAAAAATCAGACACAAAATAAAGGTCAAATGTTACATGCGAATTCGGCGAGCTTGTATTCCATATTTATATGCCTCAAAAATGCTGACTGGGAATAAAAATTAATATTTATACAAGAGTTGGATACAAGGATTATAGAGAGTAATTAATTATAGATAGAGTAAATAATTATAGATATAGAGTAATTAATTAATGTTTAATGACGGATTAAAATAATTTGACAAATACACCAATATGTGCGCTTATGTGATTAAGGGAATTCCCTATTGATACAGTATAGCAACGAAATCAGATACACCTCAGAGTAATAGAGGTATTGGACGAATGCTTCCTAGCCTTTCTCTTTCACCTTGTAGAAAGGACCACAAGATTACTGTTACTGTAAGAAGACAGGAAGACCAATTATAATTACTTTCACTGTAATATTATTTAAAAGTTCTGAAATCAATTTCTCACTAGATTAAGTTCTGTTACAATTCCAGGCTCAGCCTCAAACTTTCTGGGATGCAATTTTCTTAACCTATCTCGAACTCGAAGTTATTTATGCTCTGGGTTGAGAATAAAAGGAAGATGA